CAAATTTGGAACTGGGCAAAATAGGATTCTTAAAGAATATTTCCGATAAAATCATAATTAATAATAATTGTAATAATTATAACTATAATAAAATAATGTGATGTATTATTTGTTAAGCTAGGGTATTTTAAGTAATCGCTGTCAAATTTAAAAATGATTGTTAAAATGGATGATAAAAAACTTGATTTAAACTTGTTTAAATCAGATAAACCATTATTATTATACATATTTATTAGAGCCCCATTGTTCTACTGCCTGCAGCAGCGATTATTGTGCCACCATTAAAGTGTAAAGATACGAAATTTTTTTCCCCAATATACTAATTCGATTTTTAACAATTGGCATACTGATGTCATCTCATTTAACCTAATCTAAAGATATAGATTGAGAATAAAACGATTTTAAGGAATGACGAAAAGGTGGCAACTGTGGTAAAAAATAAAAAGTTGACAATAGGAATAATAATAATAACAACAACAACAATGATATAATAGTAGAGGAGAGTAACAGGTTGTAAAGGAGAATAGGTCAAAGAAGGGAATTTTAAAGAATAAATTTTCTCGAGAAATAAAATGTAAAATTTACAAATAATCAAAAGGCTAGATAATTTCCATATTAGTATATTTGGCGTTTCAACCCATTTATAATAATATTGCTTATTGTCGGTATTCTCCTTTTATTTATATTTATGTTTGGCCGATACATTATCGCCCAAAAAAATAAATTATCTATAATTGTTAAATTGCAAGTTTGTTTTAGAGAGTTTAAAGTTATCAAAAACATCTTTTGCAGATATGATAACAAGATTAGATGATGTTAATTAAGAGCAAAAAAAAAAATTGTCAATTGTAAATCATGGGACATTATTTGTGTACAAATATTATTATAAAAATGCACAACAATGACGAGAGAGAGAATTGGCTGATGATCGTTAGCTAAGAGGAATTGAGAGTTGTCAAAAGAAAAAATTAGCTAACTAATTATCAAGTAAAGAAAAATAATTTTCCTATTTACTTTATTGTTGTTACTTATTATTGTTATTTTAATATTGTTATTTTTATTATTAATTATTATTATTATTATTCATTTTATTGTTGTTATTATCATTACTTTGATTATTATGGTTAATTCTTCTCATTCTCCTTCCAATTATTGTTATTTTTCAATTGGAAGGGAAATTGGAATTGAATAGAATCAAGGAAAGAGGGGAAAAAATAATATGTGTGGCAAAGAAATGGCAAAAAAAACACAAATAATAAAATTATGGGGAAAAACAATAATAAAAATATTAAGGAGAGTGGGAATTAGTAAAGAATGATTTAAAATTTTTGATGGGGAGAAAAATGTTTATTCGCTAAACAATATTTAATGTGTATTTTATGGCACTTCGATCATTTTTTTTTTTTTCTTGTATTTGCATTTTGTTGAAGTCATTTGTCAAAAACAAATAATAAATATTTATTGTTATTGATGCATGCTTTTTTGTTTGTTTTGTTTTGATTGTTTGTAGGACACGCACTTAAATTTTATAAATCAATTCAAAAAATTAAAGTTGTTGTTAAATGATGATGATTACGATAATGAAATAATGCTCATTCTTATAATTCATCCAACCGGCCAATTTCTAAATTAAACTGTGTATTATGTCATAAGATGTCAATTATATCTTCTTTTAATGTTGGACATGTTAGAATAAATGTCAATCAAACCAAGTGATTTCCACAAAACATTAAAAAACATTAAATCCATCTATATAATATTCTGATTTTGATTCTCGTATAATATAATATATTTGGAAAAAATTATCATATTTAGACAATATTGGATTCCTACATTATTCTTCTATATAAACAATAAACAACAAACAATAATATCATGTAATCAATCCACTAAAAAAATTTTTTTGGTTTTTTTGACATTTCTAACTATTCAAGAGATAAACCTGTTTATTTTTTAGAGTTGTGTAGCACAAATCAAGATTTTTTTAAAAGTACTTTTTGTTATTATTGTTGTTGTTGTTTATATGAGCCAACAAACTAATCAGCCAATCATTTTTAATATGGTCATTCTGCCCTTCCGCTAATCAAAGCAACGTAATATTAAGTTTTAAACAAATGAATTGGTAAAAGTGGATGGATAATTTATAAACATTTCATTTCCATATAAGGAGCCATGTTTTTATTTTGTTTGTTTGTTAACTTTAAAATTTTCAAAGTTAAACACGTTTATTTTTTTAAACCATATGTATGTATACACACATATATATATCGATCAATTAACTTTGATAAAATAACAAAATAAAGTGATATATATATATATATAAATATAAATTGTTATTTTGGAGAATATATTTGTGGAGTAAAAATCTTAAAAGATTTAGATAATTGAATGAGAATAATGAATAATGAATGGCTTGACCGACTGACTAACTAATGAATGAATTTAAGATTTTTCTCACAACTTTAAAATAAAGCGCGCGGGATAAACTTCCATTTTTACAGTATATATGACTTACCCAAAAAAAAAATGGTCGATTAAATAATAATAATTATAAAAAATTCAATTATTTAATAATAATAATAATAATAATATAATAACAATAATAAACAGGTCAAAACAACAATAATAAATAATTTAACAATTAATAATTAATTAAATAGTTATTAGATTATCTAGTACGTAAATGCCAGATACATGCATATTTATTTACTTGGTTACTTGCTTAATCAAAAAGGTTAAATATAAAAAATTGTCTGAATTATCATTACCAATATTATTGTTTCATAGAAATTTTAAAATGGCAAGTGTGGGCCGAGTAAAAGTAAATGATACGGAAATGAGGCGCAAGGTGAGAAGAAGGACAAGTTAGAGAGAGGGCGAGTGTTAGCGCGAGGTTAAATTAGGTACAAGTTAGTAATCAATCAATGAATTGGTCGATTGTTATACAATTAATCCAATCAGCTCGAGCCTTTGGGCTTATTTCTTATTATTTATTATTAACCATTTTTAATAATATTTTAAGCCAAAAAATCTTTTTTATTTCCTAAAACAAATTCGATTAAATTAAAATAGGAAATGATTGATTTTTACATTTCTTTTTATATTATTTTTCTCAAGTCTCGATTTTCTTTCTTCTCTTATTTCTTTCTTCTACTTTATAGATGATATATATACATGCAAAGAGAGTGCTTTCATATTAAAGATCACTCAAAAATTTCCTAATTAATGTCGTGTTATATATAATATATTTTTTCATCTGAAAATATTATGAATGTCTTCAGGCTCTTCTTAGTAATTCTTACCTAAATTATTTATAATCGATGATTGATAATTTATATAGATTAAATTTACACTTATCCATTATTATGTTTGTTTTTGGTTAAATTGACTAACTTTTTTATAATCAATTAACCATTTAACCATTATATACGTTTCTTTTTTAATTCATCCAATCAAAATTATAAATCTTTTTATTATCTATATCTTTATTTAATAGCATGCATACATACACATACAGTTGATAATTAATATATATAAATATATATACTTATATACAGTATGATGTATATTATACCATTTATTTAGGATCTGGAGTAAATAAATAAGCTGTATATTCCGTTTATAATTATTAAATAAAAAAAAGTTGTTAATGAGCATAAATAAAATGTACATTTTGCACTGATTGTTTTTTTTTTTGGTAAGAATGACAAGTTAGGCCAAATATAAAACAATTAACAATAGCGGTCAGTTATTTGCAGTTAAAAAAAAATTTTTTTTTGATTTTGAAATATGAATAATTAAAGAATCAGTTATTAACGAACGTTGCATCCTTTTTTTCAATTATTACGATGGAGAAATAAATAACAATTAATAAGAATTTCCCCATAATTTATTTTATCTTCTTCGGAATTATTATTACGAACAAGTGGCAATTTTTATATGTTTAGTGTATAATGTTTAAAATTAAACAATGGATTTGTAAATAAATAAATAAGGCGTATCAGTATGTATATATATATAAAGAGCCTTTTTTTTTGATATGCAAGGGTTCTTGTATAAAAAATATTTTAGTCACTAAATACGTAATATACCGCTTGTACTGTTTGTAATGCTTATTTTTTCTATATGTATGAGAAAAGTGAAAAAGTAATCTTTAATTAATATTAAATATTAAATATTAATATATATTAATATTATTAAAATTTTTTTATATGGTAATTTAAAATAATAAAAATAATTTAAAGTTTTTTTTTTAAGAAAAATAATGCATTATGTGTGGGGGAGACCCAAATAAAGTTAGCAATATTGCATTTTTTTTTTTGTAGATTTGATTGGTATATTTTTTTAAAATATAAATTTTCATTTTATTTTAAATATTTATTTGTTTTTTTTTTATTATAAAAAAAACCCTTTAATTCAAAATTTTGGTTTTTTTTTATAACAATAAAAAAAAAATCCCTTCTCTTTAGCAAAAAAAACATTTATTTATTTTATTTTCTTTAAAACTATAATATATATATATATATATATATAATTATAATTATAAATTACTTTATATTTTTTTATTTTATATATTTTATATTACATATATATTATAAAAAATATATTGTAGATTTATACGCCATATATATAATAAATTATTTTTTATAATAATCATATAAATTAAAACGAAAAAAAAAAAACTTTAAATACGACAACTTTCTCAATCGTTGTCAAATCACTCCAACAAGGATTCAACAAAAAAAAAATTATTATATATATATTATATATATACTCTTACACTTGTTAAATATTTAATTAATTTTTCTTTAAAAAACAAAATTTAAAAAAAAAAGTCAAAAATCAATTATTTAATAACGAAAAAAACAACAACAAAAATTATAACGAAAATCTAATTTTTTTTAACGAAGAATATAATTAATTTTATTTAGAAAAAGTAAAATTCCATTAATATTATTGTTACCAAAAAACTTTCACCAGTTTAAAAAGATCAAAAAAATATGTCTTACTTTACCAAAAAAATTGCTGATTGGAGTAATCCTAAACAAAAAATGTACTTGACACCTTTGTCTTGTTCACCCGATTCTGATTCTTCCAATTCTTCCACAGATTCAATCAATGCCAAAAAACAACTTTTCGAACTCCCCGCCAACAACTCTACCCCTACTTCAAACAAAAAATCATCAAAATCATCAAAACACAACAATTCAGCTAAACTCTCAACTGCTTTTGACAACGTCGAACAAAAATCTTTGACTGGTAGACTTAATGTAAACATTGTTGAAGGTCGTAAACTCAACGTTAGTAATTTTCAATCCAGACCTTATTGCGTGGTTGAATTCGATCGTGATCAATTTGTAACTCGTGAAGCAATTAGAGATAGTGACCTTCCAATTCAACGTGGTGGAAAACCCGTAGATTTCTTGGATTTGGTTCGTGCTGCTAGATGTCCAATATGGAAACAAAAAGTTACCTTTGATGTCGCGCGTCTTGATAGCGAACTTCAAGTTTCTGTTTATGAACGTGTTCATCATTTGGATAATGCTCAAACTGAAGTTTTCCTTGGAACATTAAAAATTCAATGTCCAAAAAAACCAAATCAGCCAATTGATGGTTGGTTCAAGTAAGCATCATCATCATCATAATTGTCATTGCATGATATAAAAATAAAAAAAATCATTATATTAATTATTTAATTATTTTCTTTTTTAAAAAGATTATCTCCAAGAGGTAAAGAATCAGTTACCGGTGAATTGCATGTTCAGATCACTTATGAATCAGAGGTAAATATACATCATAAACATAATCATGATTATAATTCGAGTTTTGTTTTCGCAAAGTATACTCATTCTTATCCATCATCATCTTTTAGAAATCAAATCTTAAACCAGGATCTTTTGAAATTCTTAAATTGATTGGCAAAGGAAACTTTGGAAAAGTATTTCAAGTTCGTAAAAAAGACACAAATCGTATTTATGCAATGAAAGTTCTTCACAAACAAGATTTGATCGAGCGTAGAGAAGTTGAACACACATTAGCTGAAAAAAATATTCTTATCAGAGCCGAATCTTGTCCATTTTTGGTTGGTTTGAAATTTTCTTTCCAAACTCGTACTCATCTCTACTTGGTCACTGATTTCATGAACGGTGGTGAATTGTTTTGGCATTTACAAAATGAAGTAAGACTCAGTGAAGAAAGAGCTAAATTCTATGCTGCTGAAATTGTTTTGGCTTTAGAACATTTACATAAATACAACATCGTCTATAGGTACATATTTATTTTTGATACACATCTAATAATATATATATATATTTTTTAGAAAAAAAAAAAACAAATAATTAATATTTATATTTTTATTCTTGCAGAGATCTTAAACCAGAAAATATACTACTTGATGCTACTGGTCATATAGCTCTTTGTGATTTTGGTCTTTGTAAAGAAAATTTAGCTACTGGACAAACAACAAATACATTTTGTGGCACATCAGAATATCTTGCTCCTGAAGTATTAGCTGAATGCGGTTATGGTAAATCTGTTGACTGGTGGAGCTTAGGAATATTGTTCTATGAGATGATTGCTGGCTTCAGTCCTTTCTACACCAATGACACCCAATTAATGTATCGTAGAATATTGTTTGGTAAACTCAAATTCCCAAAAGGTTTTTTCAGTGATGATGCCAAAAGTTTAATCAAAGGTCTCCTTGCACGTAATCCTCACAACAGACTCGGATCAATCGGTGATGCAGAAGACTTGAAACGTCATCCATTTTTCGCCAATGTAGATTGGAACGCATTATACAATAAACAAGTACCACCACCATTTAAACCAAATGTCACCTCAGAAGATGATACTTCATGCTTTGATCCTGCATTCACAGAAGAACAAATTGATTATTGGCCATCTCTAACCAAGAACATAAGTAGAAATGGTACAAATGCTTCTATAGCCAGTGAATTAAATGACACCTTTGTTGGTTTCACTTATTCAGGAGAACCAACCAATACATTAAATATTGGTGGATGTTGTGGCCTTCAAGTTAACAATAACGTTGCAACCATTTCTCCAGTACAGGTTATTGGAGGAGGTTCACACAAAATGTAACAATAATAATAATCAAAATAATATTAATTCATGAACAGTCTATATATATAAAATATATATATTAATTTTTTTATTTTTTTTTTCTTGATTAAAAAAAAACATTTTTTTGTTTTTATGTACATTATAATATTTTTTTTTTCTTTTTGAATCTTGTTGTGTGAAATTGGTTTTTTTTATTTTAAAATTTTTTTTTAATTATTTCACCTTTCCTTCTTTATATTTTCTTTAGATTTTCTTTTTTTCTTTTTTTTTTTGAATAGTCAATTATGAATTTTTTAATTATAATATATATAATTGGTTATCAACCAACATATTATATATTATTACAATAAGCAAAAAAAAAAATCAATTTTATCGTGGAATCTTTTTTTTTTTCGCGATTTTAATTTTTTTTTTTTTTTCTTTCTAAGAAAAAAAGAAATTATTAAGCTTTTTTAAATCAAAAAAAAAAAAATATAACCACAATTGCTGGTCATATTTGTAAATATGTTTATATATATATTTATTTTATTTTTTTAAAAAAAAAAAAATAATCAAAATAAGCGGACGAGTGGAATTTACACTTATGAAAAAAAAATTTTTATATTTTAAGATTTTAATTTTTTGAGAGGATATTTTTTATATATAATATAATATATGTATAATATGAATAAATATAACTGCAGTATATTTATTCATATTTATTTCAACTTTTTTTTTTTTTTAATATTTTTTTATAAAAATATTTGATCCTCTCTTTAAAATTTTCTTCCACTCGTCCAATTTTATTCTTTTCTTCTTTACTTTTTCAAAGAAGAAAGAATATACATTATTGTATATTAATTTTTGTATTTTTTATATACCGGTATATAAGCTAAGATTTTTTTACATTTTTAAAATTTCTTCGAGAAATTAATTAATTAATTAATTAATCAATCAATTAATAATCTTATGAATAATATTTTTTTATTTTTTCTGAATTTTCTAAAAATTCTTTGCCATTTTTTTTTGGAAACAATAAAAAATTGGAAAGGATGAATTTCTTATTATATTTTTTTAAAAATTTCCCAATTTTTTCTTCCTTCCTTTTTTTTATATAAATTAGAACGTATATATATTTATATATATATATATATATATATATATATATAATATTAAATTCTTTTGTACTATAAATAGTTTACTTTATATATAAATTTTTTTTCTTGTATATTTGTAACAAATATATATATTTTTCCCTACTCGATCATTTTTTTTTTTTTTTGATCTTTAATTGAAATTTTTAGAATAAAAAAAACTAATAAAATATATAAGATTTTTTTTATAAAAACAATCAAAAAATAATAAAAAAACGTTAAAAACATTAATAATAAAATAAAAATTTAAAAATTTTTACTTGGTATAAAAAATTTTTTGCGACTTTATGAATTTATATCATCACAATATCGTGATCTATTCCCAAAATCGCCAAAGTATAAATTTGATCGATTCGCGTTGAAAAAAAAAACAATATTTTTTGTTGATAGTTATTTTTATAAAGAGATATGCAATTATTAAATATAAAATAAAGATTTATTTTACGCGCGAAAAACATTCTTTTTTTAATTCATTTCTTTTTTATGTTGTTTATATAACCAATCTAGTTAGAGGTGGAAGATATGAAAATTGATATCCTAATTGGTTATTAGATTATGTGGTACAAGTATTTTTTCAAAATGACGTTTTCTTTGAAAATGACCAAGTTGAGTGCAGGATTTCTTGAAGGAATGTCATGCCCATTACCTTTTGGATTCGGGATGAAGCATGATGCTCGTAGTGTGGAGTCTGCGCATTATTTACATTACAAGTTCTTTCAACTATTTCAAAAATAAACAAGCAGTCAATCATTCTATATTAATATTCATTCTTTATTATTGCTGCGGAAACAAATTTCCAATATATAATTAATTGGGCGATCTATCTATGTTTTCTTGAATTATAAAAATCATGTTTTCGACGACTTTTTATATGGTTTTTACAGTTATGATAATCATAACTGTCTACATTCGACATAAATTCGTTAAACCACCACCAGAGTTTAAAGATATACCGACTATATCGCCTATCCAATTAATAAAAACTTTGATATCAGGCCGACCTCATGATGAAGTACAAAAGGTTATGGAGGCTGCTCATAACCAATACGGAATTGTTAAAGTAATCAATCAATTAATCAATCGATCAATCGATCGATTAGGTGAATTTTAGTAGCATTAAGTAAAAAATATTTTTTTGTAATCTAGATTTGGTATGTTGTAAGATGGGGAATTCATATTTCAAAATTGGAATATGTTAAAGAATTTTTAACTGAACCAAGTAATTTAATTATTTTACAAAATTTCTATAATGCACAATGAATATTTTATTTGGAATAATAATTAATTCTTTTTGAAAATATAGTTGACAATGTGCCAAAAATTACTTATCCTCCTGATAGTGCAGTTTCAAAATTCTTAGGAGTTGGTTTATTTACTTCAAATGATGAAGTAAGTTTTTATTTATTTATTTAGCACACACACACACGCATATATATTGGTTATTCTACAAACATTAGCATAATCATGATTATATCATCATCATCAAAAACCATAATATAGACATGGAAAGTACATCGCAACATATCCGCAAAAGCTTTTAACAAAGCACTTTCGCCAAAAATAATTGGAGAATGTGGAATTGATAGTGTTAAATTGATCGAGAAATGGGAGAATACACCAATGGATACGTTTCTATTGATGCAAAGAATTACTTTACAAGCGTTGGGTAAAGTGGCATTTGGATATGATTTTCAAGTAGGGGAAGATAATTAAATATCCATTTTAAATTGTTATTTGTTTTTGATCATACATTTTTTATCATTTTAAAAACAGTGTTTAAAAAATTGGGAAGAACAACCAGAATTTATAGAAACTTACCATAGTATAATGAATCATGTTATGGCACCAAGAACCTTTTTCTTTCCATTTCTTGACAAATTACCATTAAAGTCAAATATTAGATACAATCAACTAGTTAAAGAATTCGATGAGTTTATTTATAATATGATTAAAGAAAAAAAAGAAATAATGGAAAAGAGAAAAAATTCAAATCAACAAGACAACGATGACGATGACGATGACGATAATGATTTGCTCACAGGAATGTTAAAAGCTGCTGAAAATGAAGATTATACATGGTCGGCAAGATCTTTAAGAGATGAAATAGTGATTTTATTTGTTGCTGGACATGATAGTATGCATATTGTATCCATTAATTATTATTATTATGATAATATTACTAATAGATATATTTGTATATGTATAATTTAAATTAAGCCACTGCGCATTCATTAAGCGTTGTTTTTTATTACCTGGGAAGATATTTGGTAAATTATAAATGTCTTGTATGTTTATAATTGTATTACATGTATTACATGTAATTATAGTTTATTTGTTTCAATATTATAACCAGGATATTCAAGAAAAAGCTAGAGAAGAAGTGGTTAGAATAATTGGTAAAGATTTAGTAATTCCAACTTCAGATCAATTAAAGGTAACTATTATATGGATATTTATATTTATTATGACGATTAATATAAATGAATTCTCACATATAACAATACCGCACTTTAAGGAATTAAAATATGTAAACGCAATAATAAAAGAAGCATTAAGATTATATCCCTCATTAACAACCGCGCCACCGAGAATAATTCAACGTGATTTTCAATTTGACAATTATCTAATACCAAAGGGTACTTATCTGCAAGTGAATTACTGGCAAATCCATCACAATCCAGAAATTTATCCGCGACCATATGAATTTATACCAGAACGTTGGTTGGATAATCATCCAATGAGTTTGAATGCAAATCAGGAAAAGCGACATGCATTTTCTTGGTTGCCATTTTCTGCTGGTCCAAGAAATTGGTAACTAAACAATTTTTATTACGAGATTAATCAATTAATGCTCCAAACTTCCTCTTGATTAACCTTCAAAGAATTTTTAATTAAAAATAGTATTGGGCAAAATTTCTCTATAATGGAACAAAAAACTATAATCTCAATGTTAAGTAAGTATACAACAACAACAACAACATCATCATTATTGTTATTATTATTTAGTAAATGTAAATATTTATTGATTATATATAATATTTTGAACAGTACATCAATTCAAAGTTAATCTACCACCAACTAGCCCTCATAAAGAAAAATTAATTATTAATACTTCAAATTTATTATCACCAAAAAATTTAAATTTAATATTTACAAAAATAGACTAAAATATCTTATTATATATATACATATATATATTTCATTGGCTAAATTTCATCCCCAAATTATTGGTTCAATTATCTATTTGAATTTGGAGAGTAGAGGCATTCTAATATGATGCGAAACCTCTATAAGTTTTTATGACCGTTAAAAGTATAGAACTCAAGAACTAGTCAATATTTTAAAATTAATAGGAAAGATTTATGTTCGCAAGGAATTAAATTTAATAAAGATTTACGATGCCTCCTAAATGTTAGAAAAAACATTTAAAATATTAAATGGCTCTAAAGTACAAAATAAAATCAACATGGATCATGATTTTAATGTTTTTGATAACAATTCTTTAAACTTTGGTGTAAATAATTGGGGTCCAATATTGTATATATGTGAGGCTGGAATATATTTTTTTCTATTTCAAACGCGACCACATTAATTTCATTATTGGGGATTTTTTTGCTGATCATTTTCAAATTTCTTCAGCCAATAAATCAATAATTGCATTTATGAATATAAAGTAATCACCATTCAAATTTGTTTATTTAAAGTTTCTCTTGAAGGACCTTTGACTTGTTGTGCTAGACATATCTTAGCAACCCAAGATGATTTTAAAAAACCAAAAACCTTTACTTCAAGAATTAATTGAAGAGGACATAAAGTCATCTTCTATCCAAAGTTTCACTGTGAGCCTAACTACATTGAAATGTGTTGGGGGCTGCTAAATGATATGTTAGACAATATTGTAATTACACATGGATAGGTCTTCAAGAGAATGTCCCCAATGCTTTTGATTCTATATCACTGAAACAAATTAGAAAGTATGTGATGAGAGTCTCAAGATTTATGGTTACAGAAAAGGATTAACAATACCACAACAGGCTGAATACATTGTAAAAAATATATAAGTCACATAGAAGGATTCCAGGCAATGTGATAGATGAAATAGATGAGTTAAGCTAATAATATTTTTATTTTTGATCAACATCTTTAATTGTACCATGTTACCTCAAATTTTTTTGACATCAAATTTGTAATGAAGTAATAAAAAAAAATTCAAAATTTCTAATAATACCCTCGTGAATCTTTGTCATCAGAGTACATTTCATTCATATCATTTGCCTTATCATTGTCAGAGAAATCTGAGTTAAACCTTGAAGAATTAGAGATGATTCAAAGAGATAGGATATGTGACGGATTCATTTACCTGAGGCATGGGTTCTGGATTTATATTAATTTTTCCAGATCAGAAGAGTTGGGAGTGATTGGTATACTTATCTAGGGTTTCTATTCGAATAAGGTTTATTTGAATTATTCACTTTATTCGTTATGAATTTGAGTATTCGAATTACATTGAAAGTTTATTCAAATAAATTTTAATTCGAATAAAACGAATAATTCGAATAAGAAAATTGATTCGAATAAGGAAATTAATTTGAATAAAAAAATTAATTCGAATAAGAAAATTAATTCGAATAAGAAAATTGATTCGAATAATAATAATAATAATAATAATAATAATAATAATAATAATAATAATAATAATAAGGAAATTAATTCGAATAAAAAAATCAATTCGAATAAGAAAATTAATTCGAATAAGGAAATTAATATTAATATTAATTTGAATAAAGCAAATAATTCGAAAAAATTAATTCGGATAAAACAAATAATTAAGGTCCA